GGCAAAGTGTTAGCAAAATCTCGTTGCAATTTAAATGCAATGGTTAAACTCATGAATAGCAAATTTTGTCCTAAGACGTATTTACCCGGATGGAGCAGCTATCTAAATGTGCACTTTAAGCAGCATCGATTTGATGTGATTGCTTAAATCACCCATCGAGAGTTGGGTTTGCATAATACTCGGAAAGGAAAAAAAGTGCTCATAATTACTTATTCCTGCATTGAGACAACCGAAAAGGACGGAAATTCTTTGAAACTCTTAAAGAAACATTGAAGTCGACCCATTCATTAAAAAGTTTGCTCCAAGAATCTTCTACGCTTGAGACTAGGTAAATAATTTAGAAGGGTGTAAAGATAAATTCGCATTTAAGTAGCAAACACACCTACCATTTCTGTAAATCAGGCAACACCCTGTTAACAACGCTCTGTTAAATAATTACAATTGAGATACAATGGGATTTGAAAGCGTACTCCGTTCATATTAAAAAAAGGAAAATAATTTTGTGAACATATCATGAATCTACATGAAAACAACTTTCAAACAAACTAAACAAATTTAAATTCTGCCTATGGGAGCTATTTTTAACGGTGTTTTAAATTTGGTATGTTAAAATGGGTGTAAGTGTAGTATAGTACTAGAATAGTATAGTACAGTATAGTATCGTATATCACATTACTGTATATACTATATGCTGGCATAGTACAACATATACTAGTACAAAATACGTTATACTGTAGTATAGTATATTTTAGTACAAAATACACTATGCTGTAGTACAATATATTCTAATACAAAGTACATTACACGGTAATATAGTATAGTGCAATATATTCTAGTACAAAATACACTATACTGTAGTATAGTTTATTCTAGTACAAAACACACTATACTGTAGTATACTGTAGTGTAGTATATTCTAGTACAAAATACAGTATACTGTAGTACAATATATTCTAGTACAAAACACACTGTACTGTAGTATACTGTAGTGTATTATATTCTGGTGCAAAATACACTATACTGTGGTATAGTTTATTCTAGTACAAAACACCCTGTACTGTAGTACATTATATTCTAGTGCAAAACACACTGTACCGTGGTACATTATATTCTAGTACAAAACACACTATACTGTGGTATACTGTAGTGTAGTATATTCTAGTACAAAATACAGTATACTGTGGTACATTATATTCTAGTACAAAACACACTGTACTGTAGGATACTGTAGTGCAGTATATTCTAGTGCAAAATACACTATACTGTAGTACATTATATTCTAGTACAAAACGCACTATACCGTAGTATAATGCAGTGTAGTATATTCTAGTACAAAACACACTATACTGTAGTACATTATATTCTAGTACAAAACACAATATACTGTAGTATAATGTAGCGTAGTATATTCTAGTACAAGATACACTATACTGTAGTATTGTTTATTCTAGTACAAAAAACACTATACTGTAGTATACTGCAGTGTAGTATATTCTAGTACAAAATACAGTATACTGTAGTACAATATATTCTAGTACAAAACACACTGTACTGTAGTACATTATATTATAGTACAAAATGCACTATATTGTAGTATACTGTAGTGTAGTATATTCTAGTACAAAATACACTATATGGTAGTATAGTATCATCATGTTGACTTAATAATTCTATTGAGATGGATGCATGTTCAACTAAAAGTCTCACCAACGGTATGCGGAGTCCTTTCGTTACATAACCGTCGTCAAAGTCTTTTGACCCCCTTCTTATAAAACCTAGTGCAGTTTTGGTCTTTTTGACTTCATGACATGACATCAAGATTAAAAGTCAGTTTAAAAGCATTACATCGAGGTCGGTATCGCATAGGTTTGTGCGAGTTTTTAGACGATTTGATTAGACTATTCAGACAAAACCCATAGACTGTAAATCATTGCTAATGTGGGCGAACCAAGAAAAAACTTTAATTGATTTTCAAATTAGAGAACAAAGTTTCTCTAAGAGAAATTTAACTCTAAAGTAAAAGATTTAAAATCGAATGTAGGGAAATATGAATTTTTACATAATTGCGAGGACTTCATGAACCAATTTAACTAATGAAAGCGACCAAAATTATTTAATGCCAAGCTTGCTGCGACTCTAATTTAATTATTAATTATTTTAAGAGACAAAACTTGATATTATGAAGCGAATGACTTTTGCCCATCACTCAAGTCAAAAATATATGTATAATATATGCATAGTGATGTGTTTTTTTAAGCTTGACAAACATTTAGGAAATCTAATATAATTTCTTTTGCGGTGAGCATAAAAAAAAAAAATTCGACATTTATACTAATCTTCTTTTTTAATTTGCCTCATTCACAGAGTAAAGGATAAAGCAGATATTCCTGACCAAGCACATTAATTAAATGCTGCATTAACATTGCTTACAAACAGTCACTCGGACAGTAGCTTTGTTGTTGATTCAGTGTAATAAAGAAAATTCTCATGCGGCTTGTGTTCGCAAATACCACAAAAGCGTATACATGTAGATTATCTTTTCTGTTGAATAGTATTTGTACCTCTGGTAGTTCTTAGAAAAATTACACTCGCTTTAGACCGAATATCTTAACACTCAGCATTTTTCTCAACTTTACATATTTATTTATTTATTTACTTCTTTTTTTTTTTTACGAATTTACACTTTTCACTTAATGGATGTATTTTCAAAATATTCATAAGATTAATGGTACGATCTTTTGAAATGACGACATACCATGGCAGCCACAAAGTATTTGCTTTCTTGTAAAATTTTGCCCAGTGTTGCAAATCGAAGTGGTAGACTGCTATGACCAAAGCAAATTCCTGCAAGTGTTGTTGTGATCACTTGATCACGTGATATAATAGTGGAATAGGATTACGCTTAATATAAAGAACTGGAGTGCTAGCAGAAGTAGAGTTAGGAGCTAGCATTGTTTATTTGCTTTCGAATTTTTCTTTAATGTATTTTCAAAGTTCACAACTATTAGCGAGAATACCTCTAGGCTAGTTTGCCCATTTCCCAACTGACTCGGTATTCAAGGTATTTCTATATTATGTTTATTGTTCCTTACTTTGTTATTGACACTCCTACAAAGAAGTCTTGCTGTTTTGCATGTCTTTTATTACCGAAAGGATATCTTCAACGATAACAGCGCACAATGTTTTCGGCTTGAAGAATATCTTTAGTTTCGGTTATACATTTTAACTCACTGATGTGTAGAGTGTATCTCGTAACACGACAGGATACGTTTGCAATCATTGCAACCCCCTTGCACACCAAACCCAAGATACCAACAATTATTTTCTTAAATTTCAATTTTTATTGTAATTACCTTTATAAAAACATATGTACTTTGGCCAACACCCCTTTCTGGCGCGCAGAGAGTGAGATTGTCGCAAGAGTTGACAAACATGTTATTATTAGATTTGTTTTTGTTTTCTTTTAAGAATGGATAAAAAATCACTACAAAAAAAAAAAAAAATTCACTCAAATAAGGAAAATATTAAATGTACCTACGTCCTCACTCCTACACCGTTTTATTCGTTATGGTTTCTACTTGAAACCCTGCCATAAATTAAATTCAACTAACGTTAAGGGTATGTAATGAGTCGTCGCCGCACTTCATGAATTCAGCCCTTTAACTCATCAACGGACAGAGAAGAAAAACTTTCAAACCGACAGATAGTATGCAAAAAGGAAAAAAAAAGAAAAAAAGAGTAAAGTAAATTGAAAAACACAAATGGTGGCATGATTTTTTTTTTTTTTTTTTTTTTTGTTTTTTATTTTCTCCTTTTAACAATCTGACATGCAACAGGAATGAATCATACGCCAGAATGGAACAATATTCTTGATTGCTTTGGTTTTACATGTACTACCGAAAGAATAGGGTGAAGTAATTACATCGTTTTAGTTGCTTCTCACTCATAAGTAGACATTGCAAATCCCGTAATGTATACAAATTTTTGATCAGCGTAAGATGCTAAGAAAACTTAGATAAGTTCTTAGCCGTATCTGGGTAAAAAAGAAAAAAAATTCTAATTTTACAAACAAAAGTTATATATGTATGTATATATGTGTATGTATAGTTATATATATAAAATTATAATTATATATATATATGTATAGATAATTATTAGTACCGCCTTTTGAATCGATCTGGCCAAGTCCGTCTTTCCGTCCATTGTTATTAAAACTCCCATTTTCACAAGCACTTTTATGTGTGTTCTTAGTCCACGAACATAGACCAAATTTCGAAAATGGACGCAATTCCAGTAACTCACATCATATCAATTTAATATTTTGCGGGGATTATATGGAAAAATGTATTGCACCTCGTATATGGGTAGGAAATGCCATTAATTAACATAACAATTTCAACACTTGATCTGATAGATATCACAGGCATCCCAGGCGATTACCTACTATGGGTCTCTTACCTCATATCGCACAGAAAATAATATTTATTTTTAAATTTATGAAAAACGCTAGAGGGAAATTTTCGTTTGACTTTTTTTATGATAAAAAAAAAGCAGGATATAATTTAGCAAACACAACATCTGCTTAACCAGCAGTGCAATTTAAGAAGAACTATAACATTTTTGCGTAACCCAACACATTGCATTGCTCTGTGGATGACCTAGATCATGTATTTTTTTTTTATTCATTTTTTTTTTTTTTTTTTCTCTGTGACTCTTGGCATATACGAGTGTGTACGCAGGAAAAGTATAATTTTCACATCTTTTCAGTCAATTTCTTTTTTCTATCTTTATAAAAGCGTTCTAGTTTTTGCAGCAATTTGTTGCTTTTCAATGCGTTTTGTTTCTTTTGAAGGAAATTAAAAAGAAAGAAAAAAAAAAATTTAAATTTAAATTTGTTTTCAATTTACACTAAACAAATCATAAAAAATTCCTAACATAGAACTAAACAAAAATGCGAAGTAAAAACACAATTCTTTTTCTTTTTTTTTTTGTTCTTTCAGGCGGCCATCAAACTTATCTGTAGTTTGGACAAGGCGTTCGCGACGAGTCGCTTCAGCGCCTTTACCTTGGGAACCAGATATGATGAATCCGTTAATTGGCCATATATCGTGGCCGGTTCCCGATAATCATTCAATCTCCGTGACGCTTTTCAAAGATGCGCGTACTCATGAGCTGGAGGATAAAGATTGGACCTTTGTCATTGAAGACGTAAGTGTAAAATTTTTCTTTACTTCTCTTTGCTATAATATTTTCTAACACCAACACGAGAACTACTCAGTGAAACCGATATCTGTCATAATAAAATTCAATTTGAAATTCGTTCACTGGCTTTGTTGGTTTTCATATGGATTTTTCAGTGACAACTCGAGTATCTCGCAAATATACGCCGGGAAAAAGAAGAAAATAAAAGTACTATAGTGAGACACAGCTCGCCATTAAATAGGTCACTTCGTCGTGTACGAAATTTAAACAAAATCTGGCAAAAATTGCAACCCGTAGGTTGAATATGAGATGACAGGCGAGTGGATAGGCGGACAGATAAACATAAATAGCTTGAAGAAAGGTGGGTCTATTTCAAATATTTCTGGATGTTGCATACGTCCGCACTAACTGGATACACCCTTATACAACAAGTGGTGTGAGGTCTAATCAGGCGTATGATTCAGCCATTCGTCGTTACGAGTGCTCAACAAGTCAAACGTTCGTAATGAAGAGTAAGAAATCTTCTTCACCTGTGAATTGTTTATTAAATCAATTATTAACCATTTGTCACGTTGCTATCAAGACATTGATTACATTTTTGGAGCATATATTGCTCAGCCAGTTTCGGTCGATCAAAATTGATTGATGAGCAGTTTAGGTGCAATTTGACGATCATCTAGCTTTGCCGCAATTAATTTTTTAAGTGGCCTTCGTCTCGCTTATAGTAAAATTTATTAAATTCTTGCATCTCCCTATAGACGATGATTTATTTCTTCGGGTTTTGCCGGTTGCTGACGGTTGCTGGCAGTACAAAAGATATTTGACAGCCTTCGTCTAATTGATACGCTAGTAAGTCACTATCGCTCAAACAAGAAATAAAAACGCAATACATAATAGATATGTTAGGTTGGCGAGAAAGTTCTGCCGTATTTCAGTTGTCAGGCCAAGGTTAGGATGCGTCATGCACGGTCTTATTATTAAGCGTACCTCGTGTGCGATATAAGAGGATTACTATTAATACACTTCATCGGTTAGATGCAAAGTTCAGACTGAATAATAAGCGCTGGATAAAGCGATGCATTTGGCATTAGTTCCAGGAAGAAAGCAGCGTATCCGTCGCTTGTGGAAAACTTGTTGGACATGTTACGAAATGAGTTTGTAAATGTTGTTGATCTAAGCGATAGTGACATTCTGCGGCCCATGTTGGAGACTAACCCACTCTAACCACTGTATAGTGCAAACGAACTCCACATTCATCCTTCGATTGCTGAGGAACACATCAAGCGTATTCAAGTTGAAATATTGAATACATGTACGTAATAATACGACGTACGATGGTCGATTCACTATTCTTAACTTAGTGTTTTTTTTTACTTTTCATTTTTAAAATGACCGATCCTTCAGGCGACGTCCCCTATTCATCTTACGCTTCGAATTTAAGTTTTATAGAAAATATCAAACTTTCATAAATATCAGAGGTAAGAACGGCTGGAATAGCCACTGAGATTTACCGTGGCAACAGGAACCAAACTAGTTTTTCCAAAACTATAATCCTCACAAACTTAAAATGTCAGATCGAATCTGTGTACAGTACGTCGATTATACAATGCAATCAAACCTCATAACTTTCAAAAAATCGTAGAATAACTGAACAAAATTTTCTAATAAGAGAAATGACATCTGTTTGACATAAAAAATCTCTTCAAGACACGGAAGAAGAAGGTTGCATTGACCGTATGTACGTTACGTCTGCGATACATGTCAAACGGACCTCGCAACTTTCAAAAAAGCGTAACTTTGGATAGCACACCTGCTGTGGTTGGAGCGATAGAATAGCTCGATTGTTTTTGCAGATTCACGAGACTGTAGTGACTTCTTATGATACACTTCTCTACTGTGAAAAACCCTAGGACACCAAACACAGCACAAAACACGTACGATGATAAAAAAAACATGTATATAACAAAGACGGAAGAAAATGGAAAGAGCAGATAAAAAAATTCTAAAATGCTATTCAATGTTCGATCGAACTTTTCCCACATATTTTAAAATACAGATTTCAGATGTATGTGTAAAGTGTTTTTACACATATCGCCGAAAGATGGATGGAGGGTATATTCATTTTGTCAAACCGTTTGCGACATCAAGAAAGAAGCTTCAGCGACTCCCTAAAGTATATATATTTTTGATCAGCATCAACTCTGAATTGATTTGTTTGTTTGAATTGATTGTTTGTTGTAAACATTCTCTTGGTCTCCAAAAGGAAGCTATGGGCTTCAATTTTGACGGAAGCATGCAATCATAGAATAACATGAAGGCTCTCATGCCAGACATGAAATTGTCCACAGCAGAGATAGTAGAGGATTTCGATCGAATACTGTTAGAAGCTATTATCATTTCTGCTCTTATGCAATGGAATTTATTTTTCTGTCATTCACAGCAAAAAGATACTACCAAGATTAACACACAATGGATGACTTTTTCATTCAAATTTTGAATTTTTCTTGATAGCATCGCAGCTCCTTTCCTGGTATTGTAAGAAATTTTTTGAATTTCTTCAATTTCTCTTGAATTATTAAATATCAATTCTTTATATTGCTTTATTAATACTGCTAAGCTCATTATCTAATGTACATTTATTTATATTAGAGCCGATAGCCTGTGCTGCTAGTGCTCAATGTCTTCTTCTTTTTTTTTTAGGCTAAGAATTTATTTCATTAGTCTAAAATTATAATAATAATAATAATAATAATAATATTTAAATGAATATTCGAGTATGATTGAATGTGTTTCGTTTCTTCCAAGTCTGTTTAGTTGTGTTACGGTATTGTGTCATTCTGTGATACGACCCGAAAACAACCGATCAATCGAATGGATATCATGCATGCAAAAAGTGAGCCAAGACCAAAATCGCTTACAAATCAAGGAGATTTTAATAGTGTTCGTCGATTATCGTAGTGTTGTGCACTATGAATGCTCTTTTACTTGCATGATTTTACTTGGAAGAAATAAATTAAACTGAACTTATTTTTTGGGCACAGCAGTGACATCTTAGCTTGTCATTGTTACTTATTTATTATCCGCTAGATCGACCATTTTTGATTTTTCCAGTTTTTTCTTTCTTAAGCTTACTTAGTTGCCATAAATGCACATCGATGATGTTACGGACAATGAATCCATCGTTAAAGTGAACAACACTTTATAGTGTGATGTTAGAATTCGTTTATATTAAAAATAGTGTTAATAAAATCAGCTGATAATAATTCTATTCTGATTGCCGAACTTCTACCTACAACAGCGAAAAAAAGAATTGCTTTGAATAATTTCAGCCGCCTTTTTCTTCTGCCCTTCTCCGATTTAAAACGTGCTCGAATTCCTTAAGGCCAAGCTAATGGCATTGCTTTTTAAAGCACTTTACTTTTAAGACTGCCAACTACTTCAGTTCAAGTAGAAAGGAAACGCGTCCTCAACATTCAATAATATGCATAAACGTTTCTTGCTGTACGCTGTTTCAAATGCATGCAAAAACCTTCAGTCGTATTATATCCTGTGTTAATATTATGCTTATATGTATTGATTTTCCGCTTTAAGTTTTTTTTTTTTATTTTTTTTTTTTTAGCGGTTCCTCTCACCTTGATATGTGAGAAAATGAGGATTCTTATCAAGAATATGCAACAACTATGAAAAGAAAAAATAAGTACAAACGTTTTAGAGCAAGCGCGACCATTAGATACCGTACGCCACTTCGCCTAATACAATTCTTAATTTACCTTCGCGACAAAATAATACCTTGATGCCATATGTAACGGCACGAGCAGCTTTATAAGGAATCGACTTCAAAAAATCGATAGATAGTTATTCTAAGACTAAGGCTGATTGCAGAGATAGTAAGCAGTTTCTTTTTCTCACGTCCGAAAAAGTCTGCTACAGCGTCACTTTTGTCTCCTTTCGAATGCCTGCACAAGTAATGGAAAGATGAGGTACTGAGAACAATTACAAAATAAAAACAAAAAAGAAATGAAAATTACAAGAGTTCTTCGTCTAACCACTTTTGCTAAATAAGCCATCGTAGCAAGTAGTGGTCCTAAAAATTGTCATTTCATTGATATATCAAAGGTGAAGCATAACCAAGATCGGGCAGACATCAGCGAGACGTATGGACAAATAAGTCTAACTGGATGCAGAAAAAGATTCTGAATTAATCCGCATAATAAAAGGCGGAATTGTCTTCAAGTGCCTCCTAGATGTTACATACATCCATACAAATTTAATACACCCTGCAGTATAAATCGTATAATAATTGCATGACTTATTGCGACCTGTAATAGCCTTCTTCTTGAAAACATGGCCATCCATTATTCTTAATAATGAAATAATTGTCCTTTTCAGCGTCTATGAATATAAATTTAATTCATTTAGAGCTGAACAGTTTAATTTGTATAATTTAATCAGTGTGCTGCAGCAACTTGACTTGATGAAATTTTTTTCGCTATCAATCCACACATTTTCTCTCTTGAGTTGAATTTAAGCAAACACAAAAACGCCTTCGTATCTTTTATCGTTTTATGAACTCAACATAGCGGAAGGATTGAAGTGTCTGACGCGATAAAAAAAAAAAAAAACAAGTAAGAAAGTATTATTTTGTATTTGCCTTAGCGCGAATCTTGGATACTCATCGCTTCAAGGCAACATGCATATATGAAAGCAGTAAGTGTGAAGTTATCAATTGCTCCATAAACAACACTTTCGGATTTTAGATTTGTATTAAATATTGGATTGAAGATTATTACAGGCAACGACATCACTATACAAAAATATTGCAAAATATTTATTGCAAAAATAATTCAAAATTTCCCTAACTCGTATGTAGAGACAAAAGACGTGGATCAAATTGCCCTTATAGGCTATATATAAAGAGTTATGATCTATCGAGTCAGTAAAGAGCGGCAGTAGAGATTTCGAGCCTTTCTGAGCAAGACAATCAAGTAAGCGCCTAAAGTGATTTTAAACCAATGTGTTGTTGGTCACTTCTTCTGTCCACCTTGCTACAGATTCGGCGCTTTATTCGCCAAAAATTCACATAGAATGCTCAAAGTTTTGCTTACATATTTCCAATCTTTAGGTTCAAAAACACAAATAGCCGTAACTTGTCCACAACGACGTCCGCTTTAGCTTAAAAATTAATCATTTCAATAGATTTTTATCCACAATCGACAGTGTCTATGACTTTAGGCTAAAACTTGGCTCATTTTAGAGCTTTCTAAAAATTCATTGCCACCGTGAACCCCAAAAAAATTTGATATTTCATGCATTCAGAACTTAAATAAAGTTGCATTTGTCTTGGTTGCTTGCTGTAAAATTGCTCTCATATTCCGCAAATTCATTTGGTAGCACTTATCCGAGATATGTAGTCATCCCTTGGACATCATTAAATTCCCCAACATAATTCAAGCAACAGTGCGGGCGAAATTCTTGAATATGCTTAAAAAGAGTATATTGTAATAGGTGCATATATATATATATATATATATATATTGATTAGAAGCGGTTATGGTCTGTGGTTTTGGTGATACTTTATCTTTGTTGTATTCGGCTATATTTTCCATTAATTTCGCCTCAACTAGACGATCTTAGATTCTTGTTTCAATAAATTTGCTTAGTCACACAAGCAAGTTAATATACTTATCTCAACTTAGTGTATCGTGCTTAATGCTTTAATAAATGTATTTTTTTGCACGAGATTGAAAAGCACATTCACTTTTAAACTATATATATATACACATAAATATATAAATATATGTCTACAAGATGTTACATGCTGTTGCTTACATTAACTGTAATGGCTGGCGTGGGCGTTTAAACATTGAAGATAACTGATGAAGTTGCTCTTGCAGTGGAAATTAAAACTCCGTCCCCTTCACTACATCTGACTAATGCTTTATATATTGATAAACCAAAGATAGAGTGTAACAATGTTATCATTCCGTGTGTGTGTGTGTGTGTGTGAAAAGGATTGAGACGTTTTGTTAAAATTTTCAAAAGGATTTTTTTGTAATTCTTAGACCATTTTAAGCGGTCTCTTTCTCCATTCAATTGTATACGTAATGAAATTTCCAAAAACAGACTGCAGCTCTGCAGAAGACCGCATTAACTTACTTTACTTATTTCCGCAGGTATTTTGCAACTCAAAACGTATGGGAGAGAAAGCTGAGATTAAGATTATAAATCAATCATTTAAACGTCAAAGACGTAAATAAATGTGAATGTGTTGTGCCAACGGAATGATCGGAAATTAGAAAAGAAAATTACATTAAATAAAAGAAATTTCGAGATAGAAATTGCGAGGTAGAGCAGATATCAATTCTGACAATGACAATTCTGAATGAAAAATCATTAAAGCCTATATATCTGCTTGCCAGAGTGGCGTGACGAAGGTTAGTTTTCTGAAAGACTTGTAAAATTTTCTTCTCCGTCTGTCATTTTATTCTAGGTATCTTAACGATTGTATTGGAAATGTGTTAAAGGCTATATATACCTCTTATGCATAAATGTATAAAATTATTTTGATATTATTATTACATAGTATGAATTCCAATTATGCATATATTGTTTGAAAAACATGTGTAAAAATATTATTTAATAGTTTTGGTCATGCACCAAAAACAATCGAGATATTAGAAACGGAAAAAATTATTTTAATTGACTATAAATGTTATAAGTTATTAATGTAAAGCTTTTCCTTATAAGCAAATTAAAAAGCTAGTTAATCTTTCTCTTTGCAGATTACCCCGCTGGGTAAGAAACGTGTATTGGCCAATGCGAGCATAAATATGCGTAAATATGCCAGTATCGAGTCAACTCAGCAAAGTTTTACTTTAAATTTAAAGCCGGTATCACGTAAAATCACCGCCGCCGAGTTGGAATTAACCATCAGTTGTGTATTCCTAAGGGAAGGAAAAGCCACGTACGTATACGCCAGGGACAATAAGCGAATTAAAATTTCTAAATTTCATTATGTAATATTCGTATGATTTGCTATATACCGTCATACATCATCATTTGTAGCACAACTATATGCTAAGTGTGTGCGTATGTATGTAGTTCACTTTTTAAATCGATCCAAGCTTGTCTGTCCGTCTGTTCATCTTGTTTTCAATCTGCAAGCAGGAATTTTTAAGATATTTTAATGAAATTCGGTGTACTCCCGTGTCATGGCCCAAGCACACGAACGATATTGAAAACTGTTCGGATCGGAACATTTTTTCCATCAATTTCCATATAAGGTATTACTTAGAAAACTCTTTAAACGAGCAAGTAAAGCGATAAAGGGTATTTAATGGTGAGCCTTGCCCATTACAGTGTTTTTACTTGCTTCTATTTATTCTGGGTAGAATGCATCTATCGTTCTTGGCGCCTACTCAATATTATAGAATATGAGAGCATGATTTCTTTTTCGACCAGAACTGAATAAAATTTTCTTATTTGTTCTTTTTATCCCCCACCCCCTATAGGCTTGTGAGTTCTCTTTGTATTTTTCATACTCTTTTCTTCTTTGCCTGCGTCCTTTCCCCATTCTGCCATTCCCAAAATTTTTCTCTATTCATTTCCGTCATTTCCGTTTTTTCTATATCCTCGTTTCTCTCCTCTTTCGCCTCTTCTTTCTTCTTTCTGTAGTCTTTGAGTCTTCTTCCCCCACGCCCCTTTAGATAACAATTGAAAAGATTTAAAGTATTACTTACTTCTCTATAGATACTTAATTTTAATTTCCTTTAACAGCGATGAAGATATGCAAAGCGTTGTCTCCCTAATGTCGGTCAACAATAACTGTGATGTTGCTCCGCTGGATGATCTAGAAGATATACCAGACTTGGAAAATTCGGCCGATATCTCAGATCATTTATTCGATTTTACGCAACAATTGGAACAAATGACTACCAGCTTAAATGGCTGCATGGATTTACCGACGCCATTGAGTGGTAAGTAACAAAAAAAATCCATTCAATCTCGTTCTAAATGTAGTTGTCTTATTAGAATTTAGTTTTTCATGCAGACGTAGTATAAGTAATTAGTTACATTTTTTAAATTGCATTCCTTTAGAAATTATCAGTTCGTAATTCTCCTCAGAGTTTAAATGGAAATTAGCTTAGATTACTTGTATTTCATTTAGAGACACTAGTGTTACAAATATCCTCTGTAAGCGTCATTCACTGAAACATTTATTTTGTATTTGAGTGCTTGTTAGGGATCTTCGTTGTTTAAAAAATTAAATTAAAATATATTTTTCATGCTATCAATCCATAAGAGTTTTGCAAAATCCCTTAAATACTCAATGAAAAGATTATTGATGTAAACCATATTTTTTTTTTTTTTTTTAATTCAAATTTAAATGCAGTGCCGCGTTAAATAAACAGCCAACGAACGTTCCAAAGATTATAGAATTTTCGATAATTAATTGAACAAAGTATACCCTTTCTTTTGACCCATTATTTCTGTTTGACTAGTTGGGAATTTTCGGACGTTTCCCTAGCCTTCCAGCCTGCACAAAATATTTAATGGCTCTCTCCACATTCATCCGTCCGTATCTCGTTTGCCTATTATCCACAGCTGTATTCCAGCATTGTGAGAGTTTACTAATCTTAACAAAAGATAAGAGGTTTTCTTGTGTTAGCTTCTGTGATGTGGAATTAAATTTGCTATTCCTGAGCAATAATCACCATAAAGTTTTCCAATATCAATTTTATCACAAAACAAGGTTCTTAAGTATTGAAAACCGCAAATGAAAAACATCCTTGTGACATAATAATTAAGTGGACTATAACTTGCCTATACACGTAAATCGGCTCATCAGAGAGCGTTGAAGGTACTTAAGTGTTGAAATCCGCCAAAAAAAAAACCTATCGACTTAGGTCGTCTCGGAATATGGCTGTAAAACTCCCAAGATCATAATTAAGAAGACTATAATTTTCCTATACATGTAAATCGGCTCAACAGAGAGCGTTGAAGGTACTTAAGTGTTGAAAACCGCAAAAGCAAAAAAAAAATCCTTGTGACTTAGGTCGTCTCGGAGTATGGCCGTAAAACTCTCAAGATCATAATTAAGCGGACTATAACTTGCCTATACACGTAGGTCGGCTCAACAGAGAGCGTTGAAGGTACTTAAGTGTTGAAAACCGCAAAAGCAAAAAAAGATCCTTGTGACTTAGGTCGTCTCGGAATATGGCCGTAAAACTCTCAAGATCATAATTAAGAAGACTATAATTTTCCTATACATGTAAATCGGCTCAACAGAGAGCTTTGAAAGTACTTAAGTGTTGAAAACCGCAAAAGCAAAAAAAAAATCCTTGTGACTTAGGTCGTCTCGGAGATCATAATTAAGCGGACTATAACTTGCCTATACACGTAGGTCGGCTCAACAGAGAGCGTTGAAAAATAGGTTCGACACGTTCGCATGCCTACTTAAAATACCACATAAAACTCGATAACCACTCTCACTATACTTTCAATAAATATCAACTCGAACTTTTTGATTCTGAATTTTTGTATATATGATCCCCATACCAATACTTGCAATAGATTGGATTGATGGGTACTAAATCTTTCGTTAATATAACAGTCTTTTTCCTGATTACTATTTGCGTGTCTTTTTCTTAAAGAAACAGACAGAATTATACAAAGTTTAATTGTCTTTGTCTTTTCTGCATTCGTTGTTACAATACTTTTGACTAAGTATTAAATTTCGATATATTATTATAACAGCGTTACAGCGATATTTTCTTTAGATAAAATTATGAATTAATTAATTAATTTCTAGTTTAATTTTTGTTATGTTCTTTTTCTCTCTCTTTCTTCTGTTTCTTAAAAAAAAATACTGAAAATAAAAATCCCTATAAACTACACAACAACAATAATAACAACGTATTTATACAATAAACTTTATAATGATTTCTTTATCAAATTTAAAAAACAAAAAACAAAAACAAAAAAATGAAAATAATAATCTCGCACATCCTTCGCTTCATTCCTTCCGTTTTTTTTTTTTTCTTTTTTTTTTTATTTATGCATCATCGTGTTTTGTATTTTGTGTTCGTCTTCATCTTTTTCCCCTTTCATTGTGTGTATACGTATTCATTTTTGTGTGTGTACATATGTATATAAAGTACCTTCTTTATCAGAAGATCCCACCCCATTGGCTGAGTTTAATAACTTGAATTTCGAACTTGAATCAGATAAACAAATGAACACTGATTATGTGACCGAAATGCCGGAAGATACTCTAAAGACACCAAGTGCGGTAACACTGCCCGTAACGCAGCAACAATCACCACAACAACTACAACTACAAAAACAACAACAACAACAACAACAACAAATTCCACAACAACAATCAGTTCCTATGGAAATAAATAAAGAAGATATCTGTGAGTTGACGGAATTTGCTTCTAAGACAGATATAAAGTTCAATAAAATATTTACCTCGACACCTATCAGCAAAGTAGGTGAAAAGCCAAAGTTGGAAAAGGATATGTTCGAAAGTAATAGTAGTGCTAGGAAGGTATTGAACTTTTCAAACAATCAGGAATCAACTAAAGAGATAACAAATAGTAATAAGTTTATAGAATCTCTTAATACAAATTTAACAGAGAAAAAAAATGACGAAAATATTTTAAAAGATTTGAAAAGTAAAATAAACGAATCATTCGATGATTCGAATATCACATCAATTAGTTCCGTGAATAATGCTGAGGAAACCAAAGAAGAGCAACAAATAAAAGATGATAAGAAACATTCTCCCGCTAATAAATCGTCTGATGATGTCAGGAAATTGTCTAATTGTACAATTATTAATAAAACAGAAACGAAACGTCCCGAATTGCAGCCCTTAAATCTGAAAAAATCCTATGAATCGATAGATAATAATGTTAACGCTTCTACTACAACGCAATGTACTTCAATTAACACCAATACTACCACTACAAATGCCAATGTCAATGCCAATGCCAATGCCAATGCGAATGGCCATTTGCTTACAAGTAATTCCAATAAGCCATTGGAAAGAATTATACTCAAGGAGAATACTCCAGGGCAGGATTTACTAGAGTGGTGCAAAGATGTTACCAAAGACTATCCTAACGTTAAGGTTACTAATTTAACTACCAGTTGGCGTAATGGTATGGCCTTCTGTGCTATTATCCATAACTTTGAACCGAATCTAATGTAAGTGCATATGCTAAACGTTGTGTATCTCTTTGTATTCTTTGCTCTTTTAAAAATAAAATCCTTTCATCTTTAGTGATATGTCTAAACTGACACCACACGACGTGGTGGGTAATTGCCGCATTGCTTTCGATGCAGCCGAATCTTTGGGTATACCGCGCGTTATAGAGCCACGCGATATGAGCTTATTGGCAGTACCAGATAAGTTAGCTGTCATGACATACTTGCATCAATTGCGTGCCCATTTTACTGGCAAGCAACTACAAATTGAACAAATCGGTAATATTGCGATCGCCTATCCATTGACATTAAAATGCTTGCAAACAATTTTGTAGATTACCAGTCGAAATGCATAGGAATTCGTCTTCTTCTAAACATCGTGTTAAGAGAATACGTAGAAGAACTCATTAAAGCTAAGAAAGAAAAAGACTGTTTTTTTATTAAACGCTCTATCGGAGAAGAAGGCAGAGGATTACTGTTATCTACGCAGACATAAAAAAGTTATAGCTTAATAGTCGACTGTTAAATACCCTGCATCCCTTCGCCTAATAGAGTTCCGTTAGAAAAAATCAATTATACCCTTTTGTGGTGTATAGGCCTACTTTTCGTGAGAACCCTTTAACGAGTAGGGACGCGAGAAGACAAAGTGGTCGCATTTAGTTTATGTGTGAAATAACTAAAAGGTGTACCTCCTTCCTGC